CAATAATTTCCATTTGTATACTGCCCTTTTTATAGGATACAAAGAAATTCATAGAAGTACTGATAATTTGTAGTTCAGATTGCAATTACTGTATATTGATCTTATTCAACTATGATCGTTTTTATAATTACTGTAGTGGTCTATAATACAGAGTATAATATAATCTGCTGAGGGGAAGATGATGCTTTATTTTTCAGCTTCGGAAAGCTATTATAGATCATGTCTCAGACTCCTTCTTGGATACCACTGTTCCACTTCTAGTTCTCATTGAGGCTGCTAAAAATGGAAGAGAAAAGGAAATAAAGGAATATGCTGCTATATTTCAAGAACACACCAGCAGGCTTGTGGAGGTAGGTTTCATGGATCTGCAGCTGGACTGAATATATGTGATAAGTGACTTCATACTGCACTACATTTTTTTACCTGATTTGATAACATAGTTACGCACAGTAACTCAGCAAAATGCATCAGTGACTAAATTCAGTAACAACATATGCTTTCTTTGTTCACTACCTGCATAGCTCTAAGATCTGGATTTATGTGATCTTGGCCTCATATAAGATTTCATGACAATGGAAACTAGTGGGTTATTTTCTTCCCTCTTTAAATCAACGGGAGGCTTCCCAAAAAGTAGTTCAGAAGGAGTAGGATCAGATGCTAATAGGATAAGAAACAATAACTTGAAATATTTTGGAACTCTACTACCTGGACTGTTGGAAGCCACAAGTCAGTGTTAGTTATTTGCGAACTGTTTCGCCCTTAATGTGTCTAACATGCAGGATAATATGAAATGTATAATCAAGCTTCCTGATCAAGGACTTGTTACTTGACCCACAGTTTAAAGCCATGTTCCTGGAAAACCAATCCATGGTGGGTAGATGCCTGTGGTTGTGTGGAGCCTGGGGCAGATATAAGAATCTGTCTGTGTGTACTAATTTACAGGATTTGGTCCTAAAAATATACTCAAATAGATGCAAAAATAATTTTAATTTTATTCAGAGTGGAATAATTTTATATATAAAAGGTAAGAACATTGTCTTCTATTACTTGGTAAATGTGCTGAATAGAATTGTTTGGGACCTTGAGACCCAATCCTGTAAACACTATGCACATGAGTAACTATACTCAAAGGGACTATTCACATGGATAAAGTTACTTGTGGGTATGCAGCACTGGGGCTTTAAACACTAAAAACACTACAAATGCCCAAATTGGGGTTCTCAAAGCAATATAATCTCAGATGCATGTTATAGGTAAGCTGCTGCTTTTTCCTTTTCTATCCAATGTCAATGATGTAAAACTTGGGGAAAAAAATCAATGATTTTTCTGTGTGGCTAAAAATTATTCAGTAAAACGGTTTGTCTCAGAACCAAATCATTAGTCGTGGCTGATCTGCAGATAATTAAAAAGAAGACATGGCTAAAGAGGAATTGGGATATTTTATTTGTATCTCTTTTCATGTACTCCTGTAATTAGGAAGTAAAGCTAGATGTACCATTCTCTAATTCACTAGACTGTCTTCTTTACATCCGATGAAGTGAGCTGTAGCTCACGAAAGCTTATATTCAAATACATTTGTTTATCTCTAAGGTGCCACAAGTACTCCTTTTCTTTTTGCGAATACAGACTAACACGGCTGCTACTCTGAAACCTTCTTTACATATGTTACAAAATAAAATTAAAAGCTAGAGATTGTAGCCTAGTGGGCTAGTTGCCTTTGTTATATCCCCTGCTACTGTAGCTCAGTGGGCTAGCTTGCCTTTATTATATTTATTGCTTTGCATTATGTTCACCAGTAATGCAAGAAACCTACAGGCCTGTATCCAGTAAAACATTAGCTTCAGCAAGTTAGCATAAAGCTTAAGGGCAATGCACTTTGAACAGATAAACTTTGCACAGATAAACGGTCCAATGGAAAACCCCAAGTATTTGGGGAGCTGAAAATAGAGTTTAAGGTGAAGTTCTGACCACAGGTACATGAGTCAACCACAGAAGTGTCCTGGCAATGAACTGATGTACATAACAGGTACATGAGATACATCTAAGGTTAACCTGTTTGTTTGCCTATATAGATCTTTTCTTATAAGTTTCTTATTTTCTTATGGGCTTGATTATTTGTTTTATTATAATAGGTTATATTAGAGTATATGTTGGCAGTAACACAAGAGACCTGCAGGCCACATCCTGTATGTTGAGCTAAGGCAAGGTTAGCATACATACGTTTGGGACCTTTCAGCTAGATAGATGGTGATAAGGTCCATATATGGTTGTGACCTTTAACATAGAGGATGCATTAAAGCAGGTTGGCATAGGGGATTTCATAAGTTCATATCCTTTTAAACTTAATAGGTATACCACAACTTGGAAAGAACTGAAATAACCAGTTAGGATAGAAATAACAAATATGATACCTAATCACAAAAGGGCCATGGTAACGAATTGCTATATATGATAATAAGTTAAGATCATTGATATACTAACCTATAGGAAAAAGCCACTCCAACATTTAGTAAGGTGAGGAAATACAAATAAGGGAAAGGGGAAAAATCCCCTACTGAATATGCATCTAGCATAGCAGTGTCAGCATAACATATTATAAAAGTGGCATCCCAGCCTAGGGGCAGGAGGAGAAAGAGATGTAGTCCTTAGGAAGTGCCAGAATGATGACGACTGGTGATGATGGGGAAGGTGATGGTGATGAGAAAGACAATGGCTAACACTTCAGGTAGTTCTACAAGGGATGGTGTGAGTATATGGATGTGCAAATGTACATTCTGTAGTATCTCCGTCTACCTTACTGAGTTGGGGTGTTTGTGACTGTGCTAAATGTTTTAATAAACTATATTTGTAAATATAAAAGAGTTCCTATAGAGTGAGTGTTGCAACTGTGCACATCGGGGTTCCCAACTATATAATAATTTGAATAATACTGGGCCTGATCCTGGGGCAAGAACCTGTCAACCCTCAAAGTCATAAATAGGGATTCTTAAGTAATCAATATAATTGATACATAATCTAAAGATCAGACAACAAGATTAACCTAAATTTTCAAAAGTAACTAGTGACGTTAGGTTCTTTAATTTTTGGGTACTCAACTAGAGAACTTGGAGTGGCCTGGTTTTCAGAAAATGCAAAGCACTCAGCCTCTGAAAATCAGGCCCCCCTTTAAGGTGTCTGGAGCTGGGCACGCAAGGGTTGAGACAGCCAAAATCCCTAGTAAGTTTTGAAAATATAGGCCTACAAATCAAATAGTGCTTTCCTTTTGGCAGTTTTATATTTTCTTTCTCCAGGTAAGGAGGAGAGGGTCTCGCGGTCGGCAGGGGTGTGGCCGCTGGGTCCATGACTGTACAGATTAACTGACTACAAAAATCCCTTGGAAAGGGAGTGCCAGTAGAGCCAATGGACTATAGTAGTGACCAGGAAGGAGCGGTTCTTGTGCTCTGCAGCTTGTGTAAAAAGCATTCTGGCTTTTGCAGGGATGGCTTCTGCACAAAGCCCATTTATGTGGTCCCTGAAGAGTTATTTTTGTTTGCATCAGTTTTCAAATTCTTGTTTAAAATCACACATTCTCACACATGTGAAGATGCACCTGCCTGCAAAATCCAGCAAGTACATAATTTATGAGAACACTGTCAAGGCTTGCAAAGCTAAAGCATAAATGGTGCTTTTTCTTATGGCTTTGAAAAGTAAATGAAATTCTCTTTTTTAATTGTCTTTTTCCCCCTTTCTTTCAAATGTAATTTTATTTAAAAATAATCAGTGCCAAAATCCTAACTCTCATGCTTGTTGCCAGGGAAAATTATTGGCAAAAATCACATCATCTATGATTCCAGCATGTCTGTAATGTTTTGACTGGTAAAAAAATCCAAGTCCCTTCTTCAAGTGCTTGCTCATGTCCATTCCATGCTAGGTGTGTGCTTGTGTCACATTCACAGTTGCTGGAGATTTTTCCCTTAGTGGTGTCCATAGGACCGGTTCTAGGTCCCTCTGGAGCTGCATGTGCATGCGCTGGTCTGAGGAGTGCCTCTGGCTCTGCACCCTCTCAGTTCCTTCCTATTGCCTGTAACGGTTGCTTGGACCAATCCTGCTTGCTCTTTGAAGGCTTCTTTCCCAGTGGTTTGGACTCTGTAGTATGTTGTATAGGTATTGTAGTTAGTGTATGTAGTTCTTAGTTAGTGTATATAGTGTGAATAGTGGTCCCTGTCATTGAGGGACTTTCAACCAGGGGTTGGGCATGCCCTGGTCCCTGGGCTTCAAGCAGTCTGCCTCCTGTGGCAAGCCCATGCCTGTGACTGACCTGCACTCTAGCTGTCTACAGTGTCTCCAGGAAACTCACTTTAAAGAGAAGTGTCAAATCTGCAGGTGCTTCAGACCACACAATCAAAAAGATACAGACATGCGTCTGAAGGCCTTGCTCATGGAGGCAGCTCTCAGACCAGCCTCAGAGCTGAGCTGCTCTGAATTGGTGCCAAGCACTTGTGTTTCTGTGTGAAACAGTCCACCAACACCATGCTCCTCTCAGCACTGTTCTTCATCCCTAGTGCTGAGGAAGAAGCATAAGAAACAGCATACCAAGAGAGGGTGCTCTCCAGTGCAGAAGAGGGACAAGTGGGGAGTGGCTGGGCCACTTGTCCTCCCCAGAGCCACTGTTGGTCTGGCAACTCCACCTAGAGCACTGTGTGTGGTCCAGGACCCACCTCCGATTTCTGGGAGCAGGCTCCTTCAACTCCAGAGGCTTTCGAGGGCATGATGTTCAGGCAAAGGACATGATGTCCCTTCTGATCCCCCCACCCCCAAGACCCTCTGTTTGCCAAGGCTACCAGGTATAGAAGGGATCAAGGGGCGGTGAACTCCATCACAGCACCATCCAGAGGAAACTGCTCCATGGTCTCATTACAGCAGTCTCTGACCCGTTGTCAGTCACCGGTTACCCAGAATTGCCTGGAGGTGGAAGCAGGTACTTCATCGCCATGGTCTGTGAGGGAAGCATCCTTCTTAGAGTCTTAGCCAGAATCCTTCACCCTGCCGAAGAAGTACTGGTACCTGACCTAAGCATTGGACTTTCGGTACCAGCTCCCCAGCCGGTGCTTGGCCACTGGGCCACAGGCCAATAGAGTGGCAGTATTTGAACCCGTGGGGATTTCCCCTGGTACCGACACCCCCTTTACATAGCTGAGACTTGGTGGTGTCTGAGAGGCGAGCCACTGCTTTGTCCCACCCGGCACCAGACCCTAACTCCAGTACTGACCTCGTTACTGAGGTCCCAGAAGTGGTCCAGGAAGAGGAGGCAGTCCCTCTTCTGGTACTGTCCTCTTCCTCATTATCCCTGGATGAGGTGGTCGCAGGCCTC